CTGCTTTAAAAAACAAGTGAATCAATGAGGTGGATTCTCTTTCACACACTTCAGACTAAAAGAGAGAAACTATAACCATATAGCCAAATGCAGTGGATCACCTTCATGAGCAACTGTATATTTTGGATTATAGCATAGTTTAACACAAAACTGCTTACTGGAAACAGAACTACCTTATCAGATTTCTAGCTTCACAGAAAACATCACACGTCTGTATACAGCTACAGACAGACCACAACAACCTTTGTTGAATAGCTCACCCTTTTCTAGACTGGGTGCTATCAATCGTTTTTCACAGCACACTGCGTCGTATGAAGTCATCTCCAGTGAATGGTAAATGGTAAATGGCCTGTATTTGTATAGCGCTTTACACATCCAGTCATCCACCCATTCACACACACATTCACACACTGAAGGTTAAAAGATGTTTGTGACAGATCAACACAAACTATGTTGCAAGTAGAGGTCTAAGGAGCTCGGAAAGAAAAGCGCTGGACTTCTTTAAGTTGTTTGAAGGCGTTTCACCTCTCATCCGAGAAGCTTTTTCAGTTCTATAGGTCTAGAGTCCCAGATTTAAGCCCTGTGGGAGTGTCTCCCCGAGAGGGATAATAGACCCCCTAATGATCCTCTACCTAATCACACTGCCAAGGTGTGAAAACAGGTCACAATGTAGGTCACAATCAGCCAAGGTTTCGGGTGGGCTCATTGTGAAAATGTAGAGGTAAAATACTTTTATAGACGGCTTCTTTTTTTTTTTGACGGATACTGATATAATTGATTGGTAAACTGATGTTTTCCTTTGACCTAAAAGTATAGTTGTGTAGTATTTTGTCGTAAAAATGCTTAATTTATTGTCATTTCTGTGTGACGACTTGGTTCTGGCTTAACAAACACAAAAATGACAAAGAATAACTGAAGATATTAGGGTGCTGATCATTTTTTAAAAAGCTAGGCACATGCATTTACTGTGTGATAGGTAAACACACACAGACAGACACACAAACGTCACTGTTCAGAATACAGAAAAGAAAAAAGAAAAAAATACCCAGCAGACACACACACACACACACACGCACACGCACACAAATGGTGGTTTCAGCAGCGGAACAATGCAGGGCTCCCCGTGTGGGGGCGGATACACCCAGAACGGGATGTTCTCTTTAGTGAACATCCCCCACCCCACACCACCCCTACCAACAAACACACACACACACACACACACCTGAATGCACAGGCACCAACTCACACGATGCACATTTCTAAATCCATAGATAACACACCACAAATCATAAACAAAGTCAGTGTATGTCCAGCGTTCAGATGATTCACAAAAGCCCTAACTGGACATTTTGCTTTCACACAGAATTATTTATTACACATAAAGGTCCAAATTTAAACCTGTTTAAATTGTCACCATTTTTACAGTTTGTACTAACATTAAATTTGACTTCCGCTTTTGTAAAGATGTCTATTCTATATTCTTTATTTTTCCAATAAAGGGATCAAACAATGCACATTCAGCACAAATACGGTCCTAGTTTAGATTCATTCTAAAACAGCATAGACTTCATAATTGTTGGTGACAAGGGAATTTCGGTTGTAAACTTTCATTTATTTTGCTTTGTTTTGGTTTCCTCAAGCTGAATTTACGCTTCCCCACATCAATAACCAGTCTCTGCAAGAACATCTGTTTTGAATGAACTTTTTGAAATGCATTAAATGATTTAGCGACAGAGGGTGAACAGTGCACACATGGGCCTACTGCCCCCTGGTGGCTAAAAACAACCCCGTTAACCTTGATGTAATTTTCCAAGAAAAGTTTGGATGCTGCGTAAATTGCAAATAGAAACAGAATGCAGTGAACCCGTTTTTTTATTCACAACAGAACATTTCAAATTTTTTTACATATAAATATGATGCATCATTTAAAAAAAAAAAAAGTTAATTTTGATGGCAGCAATGAGTAAGTTGAGACTGGGCTGTGCTTACCACTGTGTAGCTTCCCCTCATGTTTTAACATTAATCGAAAAATGTCTGTGAATTGAGCTGTTGCTCGACTTCTAGGAGAGCAGTGTTGTCACCCCAACCGTCGCAGCAGACAGCCGCCCCTCCCTGAGCCTGGTTCTGCCAGAGGTTCCTTCCTGTTAAAAGCGAGTTTTTCGTTCCCACTGTCGCCAAAGTGCTTGCTCATAGGGGATCATATGATTGATGCATTTTTCTCTGAATGTAGTATTCTAAGGTATTTCCCTTACAATATAAAGCGCCTTGGTGACTGTTGTTGTGATTTGATGCTGTATAAATCTTATAAGTATAAGTCTTTTTCATTTCTTTATGCTCCAAATCTTTTTAGTCAGTAAAAGGGCTGAATTGAAGTAGGGAAATTCAGCACCCTGACTTTTCTACTGAGAAGCTATGCTGTTCTAATAACTGCAGTGACTGCATAACTGAGTATGCAGTTTAACATTGTCTTGCTGAAATATGCAGAAAATACTGCCTAAAAATGAGGTGAAATAACAGCACCTGCATTTCCCTGAAAAAAAACAACAACATCTGGATAGGACAATATGCTCTAAAATCTGCACATACCTTTCAAGCTTGATGGTGCCTTTCTATATTGCAAATGGCCAATATAGACACTGGACTGGTTTTTGAATTGAGTGCTGGCAGCTAGCCGGATGTTCCCAGTCTTCTTCTGTTCAGAGGATGCAGCATTCATGGTTTCCAAAAAAACATACATTTCAAATTTTGATGAATCTGACCACAGAACAGGCTTCCCTTTGCTTAAGTGAATTTTAAATGAGTTTTGACCCAGAGATGACAACAGTTTTTCTGGACTCCGCTTTTCATGAAATTTAACCTGCATTTGTGGATGCCAAAGTGAACTGTGCTCACAGACAATGATTTCTGCAAGTTTTCCTGACCCCACGTAGTGATTTCTATGCCAGAATCATGCCTGTTTGCAATGCAGTGCTGTCTCAGAGCCTAAAGACAACAGACATCCAATACTGGTTTGTGGCCTTGTGCTTTGAGCACAGACATTTTTCCAGATTCTCAGAACGAAAAGATATGACATCAATTATTTAAAGTCTTCACAATTTTTTGGTGTCTTCAAATTGAATATAAGGAGCTATTTTTCATGAAACAGTAAAATGTGTCACTTTAAACATTTGATATGTTTTCTATTTTCTATTGTGAATGAAATGTGGGTTGCAAGTCAATGCAATCCTGTTTTATTCACATTTTTCACAGCGTGCCAACATTTTTTGGAGGTGAAGTTGTAGAATCACAAAAAAAAAAACCCAACACTTAGGATTAGCTTACATTTTCACATTCAGCGGGTCTTCAATATAAAAACTGAAATAAAGAGACATGAGGAACTTTCATTTTTAAATTATGTTGGAAGACACTTCTCAAGTATCATCTTTTAAAAAACAAAATTACTTCAGACAATTAGTAGACTATACTGTTAATGACTATAGAAAATATTTATCCAGTCATTAAAAAAAAAACCAAAAAAAAAAAAACAGGTAAATGTCACTGTGAAATAACTAAAATTCTATGTTTTTTCCTTCTTGGCCGCTTCTTGATCTTTAGCCCAGTCACACATCATTATTATCTTAGTACACCCACAGACCAGCAGCAACATCATCTGTGCAGACAGTGAATAAGAATCAAGGTTGACATGTCATAGGATGCTCTGCAGAGCTGCAGCGGCCGTGTGACTGGGGTTTAAATGTGCAGCTGAGTTCAACTTGGACCTCTGGCAGTGTCTGACTAACATGGCTGCTGCTAGGACTGCAGAGCTGAAGATAAAGGAAGCCCCACTGAGGAAGAAAGTTGCTGCATAGTTTCCCGTCCGATCAACTAACCAACCTGGAGAAATAGGAAAGAAAAAAGATACATATATTTTTTTAAATCCATATTTTAAAGTAGGACTTATTTTCCTCCAAAATGGCATTGTTTTACAGAGTTTATGCTCAAACTTCTGCACAGTTATTTCTGAAAATATGGATGTAAAAGCATGTAGAATGAAAATTAGGTGGTGCCTTGTGCCTTATGAAACAGAAACAAGTGGAGAGAGCTGCTCGTTCTTTGCAAACAGCAGATTCTAGAAGGCAAAAAAGACCTAAAAAGGTTGGTATAGAGGCTAGAACATGCATGGGGGAATAAATAGGATGAACAAACAAAGTTTGACTCTTAACTCTGCTGTAGTATATTCATGAATCCTTACCTCCAATGGGAGGGCTGAGCAGGTAGGGGATGGCATGAAGGAAGTAAACCACACCCAAAGCTGAGGTGAGATAGGTGGAGCCCACAGTGTCAGAAGTCACCACTGGTATTAGTGCTACATATGCACCATCAAAGTACCCATAGAGTATGGAAAAAGGCACGAGAAGGGAGAAGGAGCTAAGGAAAGGCATGGACATACAGCAGAGGCCTTCCATGGCCACCGCCACCGTGTAGCTCAGCATGCGAAACCTCCTAACACACCTAGAACGAAGGAAATCTATCACCACTGAACTTTGAATTAAATGCAACAAACTAATTTTTAACTAACAAAAATAAACTCCAGGTTAATACTTACCCCCTATCTGTGATCCATCCAAAGGTGATATTGCCAACAATTCCACAGACTCCAAATACAGACATGAGTAAAGCAGCATGCTGAGGCTGCACCCCCAAACTGAGGGCATAAGGAACCAGGTAAACTATTGGAGGGCTGCAACCATACGCCATAAACAGGAATGACATGGACAAAATCAGGAAGCTGGGTATCAAAAGGAAGCCAAACTCCTCCCTGGACTCGAAACAAAAGCACTGACCTCTGGATGAAGGGTTTACTAAAGGATTATTGTCACTTTGTCTGGCTTCATTAAATTTTGAGTCTTCTATCTTTCCATCCATGTCTTCCAAGTTTTTGCTCAAGCTAATGCTTTCCACCAATTTCAAGTCCTCGGTCATGTTGGGTAGCTTAAGATCTGAGAATTCAATGTTGCCTAGCATTGTGTCTGTTAGTGAGTTGCTAAATAAAAAGCATTTCCCTATCTTCAGATCTATTAACTTCCGATCAGATGGCTCCAGGGTTGGAAGAAATGCTATGTTACCTAGTTTGCCCTTTTCAAGTCCAAAGTTTTTCAATGTTCCGTTCGGTATGAGGAGCCCCTGAGGACCCTTTAAGTTCTTTACATCCAGCTGCTTGTGGTCCACTTGGATACAATCAGCAGATATTTGTTCAGGGACTTTAAAATCCAGCACTGTCTTCATGCAGTTTTTCCCAAATTTTGTCAGCTTGCTCTCCCATGTCCTTCAGATGGCGTGAGAAAGATAAGAAAATAATTAGATTTCAATTTTTTAAGGATTAGGTGATCTTTTAAATCTGTGGCAAGTTGGATCAGGTTTTTTCCCTAGTGTATCCTGTAGGTAGTTAATTGAATTGGGATATTTGGAATTTGGGGGTAAACAACTGTGGCTCTTTGAGCAGTTTTTGCAGATTGCTACACTGCTATACTAAGTCATGCTAGGAGCTGCCATTTGGGTAACATTTACCAGAAGAACATTTCATTGTAATGAGATGAATAATGTTATCCATTTTACCTGTCATTAGTTTTACTTTTAGAACAACATATTTCTTTCATATCCAAGTAAAATACACCAAAATACCCAAGAACTTACCTTTGACTTCCTCTTGGTTCCAGCGGCCTCATCAGGGCACCACAGACACACAAGTTGGACACAAATGCTCCAAGAATGAGCAGCGCTCCTCTCCAGGAATAATACTCTATAAGGAGCTGAACTGCAGGAGCCAGGAGGAAGGTCCCAATGCCACTGCCTAAAGATGAGGTAACATTGGATTTGATGGAATGAAATAAAACACGAAAAGAGTGAAGGGGGAATATGGGATGAGGAACTTAAAAGCAGACTGAAAAAAGCACAGAGGAACACAGTAAATACATACAGGTGGAAACGGTGAAAGGAAGAATGAACAGGTGAGGGAGAAAAATAAAGTATCAGTGAAAAGAAAGAAAAATTAAGATAAGTAAAGATGTCACTACCAGACAGAGCGATGCCATAGGCCAGAGCTTTCCTCTCATTGAAGTACTTCCCAACCATCGCTATGGCTGGTGTGTAGCTGAGAGCAAAGCCAAGACCTGCAGAGAATGAATAAAGGGTTTTTGTAGTTTGGGAGACCTGCCATATGTTGCCATATCTCCTCAGAAGCTCTCATATGTGCCATTCTACAATCTGCTATTTACTTAGCAAATATTTTCCCCAAAGCAACTTGGTATAACAATATTTAAACTCCACAGTAAGATCATCATTAACGTTCATGGCTCATATCATTATATTTTCCCCTGTAAAAATGCTTCTGTTTTTTTCTCCTTTTTAACATGTGAAAAAAAACTGTTTCCCTTTCCCTTCAAGTGGTCACAATATAGGTCGAGGCTCCCTGAGGTTCTGTCGGTGGTATCTTTCTGTTAAATGGTTTAACCCACAAACCCTTTGAAGGGCATCTGTAGTAAAAATGTGCCAAATCAAACATGTGTAGCTACCTGCTGTAGCGACCAGTCAAAAGTAGCTTGTGTCTTTGTATATAGATGTTTGTACAGTACTGTGTCAAAGTCTTAAGCCACACATCAAATGTACAGACATGTGTGGAAATGCAGTATATAAGTAGCAGAATATGTACAACACATTCTGAACTCTCTTAGGCAAGCTTTCTTGTCATTTCTTTAAATAATCTTCAAGAATAGTTCTCCAGGCTTCTTGAAGGACTTTTGAAGTTCTTCTTTGGCCAACTTTTGTTTCATTCACTATAGGGCTGCCACAAATGATTATTTTGATAGTCGACTAGTCACCGATTATTTTTGCCATTAGTCGACTAATCAGATCATGCAATCCATTGGACGTAAAACGTACAGCTTATTGCACCAGCATGCATCTGCTCTTATATAACTATCATTAGCTTACAGCTTTAAGTGTTTAAGGTATGTGCTAACTAAAAATAAAAACAAGATGATAGTTTATTAAATTTTAATGAAATTTGCAGATTGTTTCGGTGAAGTTTAATAAACTCCTTGCTATTGTAACGATGTAAAAGAATGAATATGGTTTTATTGTTGTTAAATTCCTGTTAAACTTGGGATCTCAACCATGGGTTTAGTTTTAAACTTTTATTTTTGAAAATCCGCAGCGGAAGTCTGCTACTGGTAAACGGGTTTTCCCTAAGCTTATCCTTTAGTAGCAATGAACCTTTTGCTGTGTTTGGGTGGAATCCTGTTGCTGGAAACCCATGGTTATTCATGTCCCATGTTACTGCAGAAACCCACAAAAGGGGAATAAACCACGCCTGAGCTCTACCCATCTCAAGTCCAGAGAGTTTTACTCATACAGCACCGGACATAGAGACTGAGGGGGGTTACACTA